GCCCAATCTCCTGTCCCCACCATGTGAAGGTGGTTAGACTGAAAGAAGGATCTCAGAGTCCAGGCAGGGAGATATGGCCTATCAGCCTGGAACTAAACTATATAGGGCTTTATAGGTCACAATGAACACTTTGAACTGTGGTTGGAAACAGACCAGCAGCCTGTGGAGCTGGTGGAGCAGGGGAGTTGTAAAACTCCTGCTGAAAACACTCTAGCTGCAGTACTTTGTACCAACTGGAACTTTCTGAAAACTCTTCAAAGGGAGCCCTTTGTAGAGCCTGTTCCAGTAATCCAAAATGGGATATAACTATGTGATACTGTGGCCAGATCAATCATTTCCAGGAGTATTTAAAGAATGATGTAACTGTAGCAGTGAAGTAGACTAAACTTAACTAATACTGTTAATTATTTACATTTTACTTAAGTCTTAGAACTTGCTTCTCTTAAGCAGACATTGCTAATATCATCCCCAAGCAACATCAGCTTAGCAGCATCACAAACACATATGATTATAACCAAAATGTATAATGAAAGCAAGCTTGGAATTGCAGTTATAGGTCAGGATCAGCATAGACCTTTCAGGTGGAACTTCTGCAGATTCCCAACCCCCCATTCTTGAAAAATTAGCTCTGGACTTAACCATACACTGATACAGTATATTTTATGTATTTTTATATGTGTGTACCTACACAACTGCAATATTATGAGTTTTGAACAAGGATCTGTTCATGAACTACGGGTTTTCAAGTGATATACATGAAATTTGATCAAAACTATCTAGCATTTCAGGAGACCACTTTAATATTCCAGATCTCCCTAGCACAATTACAACTTCTTAGTTAATAGTGTGTAACATGTTTAAGTACTGCCCAGCAGAAGCAGCTTTAACTATAAGAATACATACCCTCCGGCTGCAGCTGCATGAAGACAGGTCCTGCCAAAATCATCTGGGGTATCTATGTCAAAACCTACAAAATAAGCACTTTGTGAAGCCATCTACATAAAATTAATCTCTGTTCTCTAGCTTGGCAGAACACGCTGTGAAGAAAACCTCCTCATGCATTAATACTCATGCATTATGATTTTTATAAAAATCAATACCAGAAGTATGTTCTTTTAAAATATGAAAAAACAGATCTTACATTTGTTGCATGGATACTAGGCCTTTCCAGATGTAATGTTAAATCATGATTAAGTGTTATCTTCACAAGCCTGGGGCCCACACACTTCTCCCTCATCTTTTCCCCTCTGGTACAGCTGAGTAATGTCAAGCTTTTGCTTTTAACCTGAAGCACAGCCCTCTGTCATATCAAACCTTTGGGTATTGGTGTTTAGTTTAATCTAGGGTTAACTGAAACATGCCATGATCAAATCATAACATGGTCCTGGTTTGTTCACTAATCAAAGTTTGTTCACATAACCACATACTTCTCCCAAGGTTTGAATGTAACAAGGAGGTGTGATTCATAAAAGAGGAAGCATATGCTTCTGATCTCACTGCAGAAGCACTGGGGGGAGCAGGGGAGCTCATGACCCCAAGACTCATAGACTATAAATCATAGTTCAGCATTATGTTTCAGCTGGTCAAATGACTAGTTATTCTTTCAGATGCTTCTTTGCTGAACAGAGTGCAGCCTGCAGGCCTTCCATGGAACATTTTTTCACATAAAATATGGTGGTGGTGAATTTTGCTATATTTTGACCCCCCTCCTAGGCTATTCTAATGAACTGGAAGTTGCTTCCTTAGTAGCAGTGAGGAATATAGAATTGCCCCCATGTCACATGTGCTTGTGTGAGCTGTTTTGAGTAGAAAGCATGTTCTTCATTTTTAAAAAAAGAAAGAAAGAAGTCCAGGTATGGGATGTAGCAGGAGATATACAGCCCCTACAAGTTCTTGAAGGGGAACAATATATATCTCTCCCCAACTGATGGCAGTGACCCACCTCTAGTTTAGAGTAAAATAATGTCAGATATCAAAACATTTTAATGTAAAGTTTCTTCCAACTAAAATTATGCAACTCTTGTCAAGGGACAGAAAAGAAAATTTCCAGTAGTGTACTGTGAGAGATAGTGAATTTTGCTTTAAATTGCACTGTATATAAAGATTAAAATACACACATCCCTGGAAATTCCCATCACAGAAGCTGCCAAGATGGCATCCTGGTTTCCAAAATGACTTTCATATTAAGACCAAAATGGTAAATTGATGTTTATGTCATATGAAGGGCATCACTTATTGCCACACTCAGTATGAACTATGTGAAATATGGGTCCCTAACAGTATGACATCAACGGAACTACAACTTTCCTTTTTCACACCAATGGGGCTATTCAAATTTATAAATCAACTGCCTCTCGTGGAAAAAATATTAATAGTACAGTAATACCTGAATTTCAAAATTTGCTCCTTGACATTCAGAATCATGCATATGTGTGCATATAAAAATTATAACAGTGGCAAGGTTCAAAACTAACTAATGTGATTAGATAGTGGATGACCTAGAGCAGGGGTAGGCAATCTTTTCCCTTTAAGGGCTCCCAGAAGCCTCAGCCATGTTGGCCAATAGCTCCTGGGATTCTGGGAGCTGAAGTCCCTCGGCCCTTAAAGGGGAAAGGTTGCCTACCCCTGACCTAGAGATTCTGCATGCTACACTCCAGAAGATAAATTGTTGCAGATGTGGGTGGGAGGCCACAAACAGCACAGGACTTTCTACACTTTCTAAATGGAGTGCAGGATGTAAGCAGAATAAATAATGAAACCTCAAATAAGATGTCAGACAAGCAACAAGTAAAAGATCTGAGTACAGCCTTCTTCTAGGGCCCACCATCATCCAGACTGCACAATTCCCTCCTCCTTGTGTCAAATTTGCTGAAAACCAAACTTAGTGATAACTTCTCCTTTTGGTGCTGTATAGTTTCACCATGAAACACAAACACTGTCTTTCTTTGCAACAATATCCACAGGAAATTGATTTTAACCTAAGCACAGTACATCAACTTCTATCACTGAAAGCTCTGTTCACCACATAAACCATGTTTTGGAAAACTATGGACAAGTACATCTCTCCCATTTTTTGCAAACAGACTTAAGTTATTGTACTATTTTAATACCACAATGCTTTGCTGTTATGGCCAAATGACCAAATCATGGCTTAAAACCAGAAATGGTTGTGTAATTATAGGGATAAACATGGGGGTGGGGGGTTGTATGTGTTTTATTTTCTGCTTTCACATTAAGGAACAGATTCTCTTCTGTCCTCACTAGGAACCACTATATCCCTCAAAAAACAACAAAAACCTGGATCTCAAAATACAGGGGAATTATTCTTTTGAGTGACATGGACAATTGTACACAACAGCAACTGTTTCCTATGTATGGCATGCTCAGAGCTAACAGCACATACCTAGCTATGAGAGCATAAAATAGAGGGAAAAGGCATTTCAAGGGCATGAATACATTATAACTAAATGTATTACCTAATGTATCTAAAGCTCTATACAGAAATGATAAAATGTTAGCAGCTTCAGTTTTTCATAAATAGACTGATATATAAACTAGTTAAGAGGCTGTACAGACTAATGCATACATTGGTTAAACTAATTGAACTAAACTTAATCCAACTTCAATGGTTCCAGCACTCCAAATAAAATATATGGCTCTGAAGTTGATTCTGCTGAATTTAAAAACCATGGCACAAGAATATTTGGGATAAACTAATTCATCAAAGTAACCAAACATGCACAACCTAAGGGATATAAATGATATAAAGATGAAAAATAGACATCTAATGAACTGAACATAGAATGATGCCTGTATTTACCTGTTATGATAAATCATCCAATTACCAAGAAAAGCAGTGCTAAAATCAAAAGCCAAAATGTTGTACTGTGTGATAAATCAATATTTTTAGAAGCTGAAACATATTTGGAGTATTCAAATCCAAATATATATATTTACAAAAGAAGCAGTACTTTAAAGCAAAGAATAAATATTCTAATGAATGTTGCTATGGATTCACAGCAATCTATATTTCTTCACTAGGGCATCAATCTAAAGATAGTCTGTGTTGTGCCCTGTCCAATTCCAAATAAGGAGGAGGAACCAAGGCAAATAAAGGTTGAGCAACCCTTACCTGAAATGCTTGGGGCCAGAAGTATTTTTTTTAATATTTGCATATACATAATAAGATATCTTGGAAATGAGACTCACATCTAAACATGAATTTATGTTTTGCATATACCTTATATACACAGCATTTTAAAAATAATTCTGTGCATGGAACAACATTTGCATTCAGTGAAACATCAGAAAACAAAGGTGTCACTATCTCAGCCACTCATGTGGACAATTTTAAATTTTGGAGTTTTGGATTAGGGATACTCAACTTGTAATACAAAAATACATGTACACAAAGTATATGCAAATATTTCAAAATCTGAAAAATTAAAAAAAAATCTAAAACACTTCTGATGATAGATTTCAGATAATAGATATTCAACCTGTACTAATTTCAAACATTTCAGATAATAGATATTCAACCTGTACTAATATTCTGTAGTGCTCAGTCTTTTAAAAATGTTGGCAATGTACCTTATAGTTCCTTTTTGAGTGAAAATAAATTTACTATTATAAAGGGACAACTTTTTATCATCAATTAGGGATAATATTAACAAAATATTTTCTGTAATTGGGTCAACATTAAATCAAATTAATCTAGAACTCCTTGTAACAAAACACACGTATAGACGCTATTTTAAGCTACCTATGATAAACTGATTAGATTTCACTGCTTACAGAAACTACCATCTTTCAAACAATGACTGTAATTTTCCTGTCTACCAATTGTTGTTGTGTGTCTTCAAGATTTCTGACTTATGATGACCCTAAGGCTAACTTAGCACAGGGTTTTCTTGGCAAGATATGTTTAGAAGGGGTTTGCCTTTGCTTTCCTTTGAGGTCAAGAAAGTGTGATTTGCCCATTGTCATTCACTGGGTTTCCATGGCTGAGCAGGGATTCGAACCCTGGTCTCCAGAGTTGCAGTCCAATGCTCAAACCACTCCACCATGTTGACTCTCATATATACCAATTCCTTAGATAAAAAGGACATAGAATTCAGGATGCAGAAATTATTTATATGAACAATAGCCTGAAATGTGTTGTTGCATCACTGACTTAATAGATCTTAAAATACAAAATGTACAAACTCCCTATAATTGTGTCCATTTTCATAATCCCTAGCAGTTGCTATGTAGAATACACAATTAATATTTATTACATAAATAATTGCAATGTTATACAAATTCTCAATCATTTGAACAAGTTTACTGGTCTTCAATTGGGAATACAGGCTAACACATAAAACCATATTACCTGCTGAAGCTCTAAAAAAGGACAACAGTAACTATTATCCCCACATAAGAGGCATTACTATTAATACTACATACAGGCATTCCTACATTACTGTTTTGCTACTAAACATCCTCTGTATCAGGGGTTAGGAATCTGTGGCCCCTTAGCCTTCTGAAGCTTCCAGATCCCCTATTATAAAATTGGGTGGATTTTGGCCTCAAAACTGCCCCAAACTAACAAATGTGGCAGTTTTCTTTTTTCATCCTTTCATACTAGCATATTATCTGCATTTGGATCCCAAAAGTGTTCCTTGTCAGAATGGAAAGCACTTCTGTTTTGATGGAGACGGGGGAAACGGAGATCACATGTAATTCCACAATGCATCCCCGCCCAACCATTCAGTCCTTCATATCAGACTTTATGATGTCCCAGAGGATCATCTAATCTGCAGAAGTGGCTTTTTCAGGGATAGGAATTGCTGAAGCAAAAAGCAGAAGGTTCCATTGCACAAGCAGGACTCTTGTCTGTGGTTCTTAAAGAACAAGAGAACTTATATAACTTTTGCATTTCTTAAATGTGTTCTTCTTCATTATGGCACTTATCTTCTGAGGATCACTTTGCTCCTCTTATTGGCCATGACCATCCTCCAACTGGTACATTTCATAGATTCAAACAAGTACAATTAAGCTGGTACCATGCTTGCACAACTGTTGCTATTATTCTGCATACTACTGGCCTACCATGAAAATTACATGGTGCCAGGACCTGTTTCATGCTCACTAGCTAAAAAGAAGCATATACTAAATCAGGGGTAGGCAACCTTTCCTCCTTAAGGGCCGAGGGACTTCATCTCCCAGAAGCCTCAGCCATGTTGGCCAATAGTCCCATGTTGGCCAATAGCTGCTGGGATTCTGGGAACTGAAGTCCTTCGGCCCTTAAAGGGGAAAGGTTGCCTACCCCTGTACTAAATTGTTCATCAGGTCAATGCTCTCACAGCAAAACAAACTGAACATTACTACAAATGGAACACAAATTTATAAGGGCCAACTTTTATCATATATAGAGTGATTTGCCTATACATTTAAAGGCTATAGATTGAAGAACGCTTTTTCATTGGGATTGCACTAGCAGAAGTCTATAATTTAATATGTCAATAAAGAATTATAGTAAAAGGATTAGATTAATTCTGGAGAACCTACCTGATGAAAGCAGCTTTCTGCAACAGTCTGAAAATCCACTTAATGCTGCCAAATGGAGAGGAAACATTCCATGTATACCCCGCCTAAGATATACCATAATCAGACATCACATTCTCATTACAAAGGAAGTAATTAAAGATAGCATGCCAAATTCTATGTATACAAGGTTTCATTTTAACAGCCTTTGTTAAAATAATTATAGGAAGTCACTAATACATGGATATGTAACTGTTCACTCTAAATAGAGTACATACAATTAAAAATTGAGAATTATCTGTATACAGTAGCAATTCAGGGATTTTTCTTTTACTTAGAGAGAAGGATATTGCATTCAATTGCATAAGAAACACTGTTTTGTTAAAATAAAATCTGAATTTCATATAAAGAATCATGTAAAATCTTCATATGCATAATTCTCTTGTTATTGTTTGTTGTACTTCAAAGATTGTAATGTTCCACAGATTATTTGTTTATACACTGAAGAGGAAGATGCTACACAAACAAGTTTACTTGACTTCCTGCCAGTATCTAGTATATTAGATAAGTCATATCTCTTTCCTTATGTTTTAAAATGGTATCCTATTGCTCCCACCACTTATTATGGTTAGGATAACTTATTATGGTTACAGTAAAATATGTTATGTATCATAAGATATATTCTCATGTGCACGCTTGCATACACACAAATTTTCCTGATATATATTTTACATTCAAATAATTAAAAGTTGTAAGTGTTGCTTACTTTGCAGTGTCAGCACCACTTGTAATCAATGTGTTGATGAGCAGCTCATGTCCATATCTGGCTGCTATGTGCAAAGGTGTATTTCCATTTTTATCTTCACAGTCTATTTCAGCTCCTAGAAATTAAGTTTGGGGTGAAAGAGGAGTGTATTTTACTAATCACAAAAATAATTACACAAATTAATATATTTGACCATATGTTATAAAAAATAAAAAAATCAGTTTATCAAACAGTCTAAATTGCCTGAAAATCTCCATATAACTACCAACTACTTCCTGTGTTTAAAAGAAGCAAAGGAACTATGGAAATGATCATAGATGTTGGTGGCTCTGATATCAGCAGGGTAATGAATTCACTCTAAGAACTAAACAAACTATTCAAGATGCTGAATCCTACCCTTAAACTGGAATCAGCAACTGGGATTAAAGTTCAGACTAAAGTCCAGAGCAAATTCACTGTCTTATTAATACTGTAGTTATCAGCCTCCACTGCAAACTGTGCTCTTCTGCCTCCTTCTCTTATTTCTATGTAAATTGGAAAGTTATTTTTAATGATAATGACATGCTGAAACCATCCATTACTAAGAAGTGGTAGGATGGTGCTAAAGGTCATAAATGTCCTTTACTTTGAGAATTAGATGGCTTCTGGAACTGACAGATCTCACTACAGGTCCTTCTTCTCACATACAAAAATAAGTTCATTCATTTATTGGAGAAAACAAATGAGTTAAAAAAATAAAATACAAATAAAACATATCTTAGGAAAATATAAAATATATTTAACTGAGCAATACAGGCTACTTTTAGAATCCCACTTAATTTTATTTAAGTGCTCCTTTGGAAATACCATACACAACCTGAAGCCACTGAACAAATGTGCCTCAACACAGTCTGTGCACTAACAATGAAACAAAAAATATATAAAATATATTTAACTGAGCAATATAGGCTACTTTTAGAATCTCAGAGAGGGTACTCTCCAATGAAAATTATTACTGGAAAAAAAAATCAGAATCACAGGTTGCCACAATGATCATGCTACATAAGCAGTGGTATAAGAGCAAACTGGCCACTTAACTCAAGACAGGCAAATCTAGAAAGAAGATCCTGCTTCACTAAGGATTTCATGGCACTATGGCAGTAGTTCATAAACCTTTTAAATGAATGACAATTAAAATCTTTTTGAATAGTTTAAATCGCTTATAGACCACCCACACACCTGATTTTATTTAAGTGTTTCTTTGGAAATATCATACATACTCTGAAGTCACTGATCAAGTGTACCTCAACACAGCCTGTGCACTAACAATGGAATAAAAATATATATAAAATATATTTAACTGAGCAATACAGGCTACTTTTAGAATCCCAGAGAGGGTATTCTCCAATGAAAATTATCACTGAAAAAAAAAATCAGAATCACAGGTTGCCACAATGATCACGCTACATAAGCAGTGGTATAAAGCTGCCCTCAGAGCAAACTGGCCACTTAACTCAAGACGGAGGCAAATCTAGAAAGAAGATCCTGCTTCACTAAGGATTTCATGGCACTATGGCATTATGGGGGATCCATGATACTAAATTAATAAAATTGTGAATCAGAGTGTTTAAGATTAGCATTTAACATTGTGAACACTAAGCTAAGGAAAGCTGTAACTAGGAAAAATATTAACTGAATAGGTGCTAGAGCATATTGGAATTACAAGCATCTGATGTAAGTAAATAAGAGTATGCTGTGGATTTAGCAATCTGAATAGTCCAGAAATGAATCTCAAGAATCTACCATGCTTTAAAACACAATTTAGAAGAAAAATGTAAAGCTAATAAATTAACTGAATAATTCAAAGTGGCTTTGAATTATTGTACAGAGCAGAAAGAACTTAATATTTCATTGTTTTCTTTTACCATTCTGGATGATGGTTTGTGATCTTGAAAATCTTCCATGAATTGCTGTCATATGCAATGGTGTTTTCCCATCTTTACTCTGAGGAAAAAGAAGTCAACCCATGGCTACCATTTAAATTACAAATGGTTAAATTTTCAAATTTGTTTTGTTTTCTCTTCTGGTTTATATTCTTCCTCTATAAATTTGTTGTGGTAGTGGCAAGCTAAAATAATGCAATAGGCTTTTCAATGTTGTCAGTCTTGCATGAAAGCACATTTGAAGCATATTAGCACTATTAGGATACTTCCAGCCCAGCAGACAATCTTAGTAGCTAGCTAGCATCATTGCCACATCCCAAGCAATAATTTGAAAACAGTTAAATAAGCATTTCATGAATAGCTAAAACAGATGACTCTATTACAAATACAAGAGAACAGATCTCTTGTTTATAGACTATTCATGTGACCCTTTCGTGTTACCTATAAATTCAGAAGCAATTAATTATAAATCACATGTAATGGCAACTATTCCATTCTGAGGGTACTGTATACTTCAGACCCATAAATTTTTCCCACAAAAACATTCTAGAAGGTCATGTTCTACCAGGATAATCCATGAGATAGCTACAAAGCATTATACTATGTAATATATGCAAACTTTGTCATGCAAACTTGAACAGAAAGCTGAGAAATAAAACCATCCCCATACATTTAATATTGGGCAATCCAATTAAAACTACAATCTGTATTGCTCTGTGTGCGTGTGTGTGTGTTTCAGCATTTTAAATTCTAAACCACTTTGAGGACATTGGCAGAAAGTGAGTATATAAATGTATTTAATACATGTGAGTATATAAATGTAATTAACAACAAACAGGCAATCATCTTACTTCACTAT